AGAATTCTGAGAGTTGAAGGTGGAACTTTTGAGAGTGGGGATTTACCAGGGCTCAGTAGATAACACATGTGTTAAGTGTGATTACATGATTGTTTAAGGGTATATGGTTGCAAGTATACATGTGCTTCAGTCAATTATAGATGGCCACAGGGGAATGGCAGGACAGGTTTTTCTGGGAACCTAATGTTAAGGTTGTTTTCTCAAGCATGTTTGTTCTTAGGGATCTGTTGTATAGAAGATTCATCAATAATGCTGTGGGGCCAGACACAAAGGTATAGATTATCACACCTGCATCTATTGGCCATGGAGGAACAACTCCACTGGGGGCAGAGTGTGACATTCTATACCTGCCAGACCCCAGGGGGCAAAGAAAAATAAATAAATAAGTAAAAAAGAAGAAAATATTTTCTTTCGGGCATATGGTTAGGTCAACACAAAGGTTGGAGAGGCCGCTGTTGGAAAAACTCAAACTCAAAGCCATTGGGTTGATTTCAACTCAACGACTCTATAAGAGGGGGTAGAATGGGCCCTGTGGGTTTTCAAGACTGCAGCTCTTTCCTGGAGTAGAAAAAGGAGTCTTTCTCCCTCAGGGAGACTGGTGATTTCAAACTGCTGACCTTGCAGTTAGCAGCCCAACGCATAAACACTACCCCACCAGGGCTCTTAGTGAATGTAGCTTTAGAATTCAACACGGATTCCAGAATCATGTCAAGACTGAGGTAGAGTTAAGGCTTCAACTTCTGGCTGCGCTATTTACAAACACCCATACCTCTGATCTCAGACAGGTGCAGCTATTGCATTTTTTATAAAAGCAGATTGCCAGGCCTTTATTCCGTGTTGTGCCCTGCTGAGTTTACATTTATCAACCTTTAAGCTACTAGTCAACTGTAAAACTCCATGTTGTTGTTTGCCTCTGAGGTGATTCTGACTCAGGACAGAGGAGAGCTGCCCCACAGGGTTGTTTCTTCTGTGACCTTTACAGAAACAAAGCATCAGGCCTCTTCCCACTCTCCGGGTGTGAACAGCCAACTTTGTCACCGGAGGGCTGAGCTGTTTACACCACAAAGATGCCTTATAACACTCCCTACTCATGAGCTCTTCTTTTCTCTTGGTCCTTCCCTAGCAACCAAGAGGAGTTTAAACTCTCATCCCTGGACATCACTCACGCTGCCTTGGTGAATAAGTTCTGGCATTTCGGTGGCAATGAGAGGAGCCAGAGATTCATCGAGCGCTGCATCCGGACCTTCCCCACCTTCTGTCTGCTGGGGCCTGAGAGGAGCCCCGTGTCCTGGACCTTGATGGATCAGACTGGAGAGCTGAGGATGGCAGGTACTGTGCCCCAGTACCGGGCACAAGGCCTCATCTCCTCTGTCATCTATTCCCAGATCCAGGCTCTGGACAAACTAGGCTTCCCCCTCTATGCTCACACCGACAAGAGCCACAAAATTATGCAGAAAATGTCTTACAACCTGCAGCACATCCAAATGCCCTGTGACTGGAACCAGTGGAACTGTGTGCCTCTGTGACACTAAATCTGAACGAGGACAATGTTGGGGAACGTCAGGCATTCAGCTGGAGGAATAGCTGGTGGATGGAGAGAACATGTAAGCTGTAACCTTTGGCAAAGGAGTGAGTGCTGTTTGGTGTCATGGATTGCACTAGGTTCCCCAGTGTGAAGCCGACTCCGACATTGTTCCTGTGGGCCCATGTCACTTAGCTCCCCACATTTCCAAGATTGCTATAACTCTCTCTACAACTTCTTTCTATTTAATTTTAACAGTTTTATTGTCACTTCATCCACATATCACACAATTCAATAGTTGACTCATATCAAGAGGAGTTGTACAATCATCACCACAATCAATTGTATAGCGCCCCGCTGCGCCCCTCAACATGGTTAAATCACTTTTACAATGAGTTGCGTAATCATCTTCAGTTCTCCTGCTACCTCCCCACCCATAACATTGTTTGCTCCCTCAACAGCCTCACCTGCCCTTTGTCCCACCCCCACCCCCACTCCTCCCTCCCTTAGAACCCCCTGCATCAGTTCTTCTCGTTATATGCATCTACTCCTTCTGTGCTTCACAAACTGGGAAACCCAACAGAAACAATAAAAAACAGAAACAAAATTAAGTGGTGAGGATAAAATAATACAAATCATGCAGAGATAAATATACAAATAAGGAGGAAGGAAGAAAAGACTACCATGAATATTTAAAAGACCAGAGATGGAATTTTTGTCATGGAACAAGCAAGAAATACTAGCACCTAGAACAATTTCAAATTGGGTCAAGAGGGAGGTCCACTGACCAAGTTTCAAGTTCGATCCAGTATACTAACAATCACAATGATCCCTGTCTGAGAGTAAAGCTGTTTGAGACCCTTGCCTGTGGCTAGAGGGGGTCTGCCAGTGGCTTAATCTGATGAGATGCTCTGCAGATGGGGTTTGGGCTCCCACTGCCCTCCATTTCCTTCTACAAATTGGATGTTTGCAATTTAGGCTCTAATACTTTTCCCTTTGTCATATTTGAATTTTGTTATGGTCGTCTTTTGATCACACAAGCTGTTGTGCTTTGTCCGTGTGGACTTAGTTAACTCCTTATTTAGATGGCTGCTTGTTTGAATACAAACCTTTAAGATCCCAGACACTGTTCTGATTGACAGCCTGGCACCATCCGCTTTCTTCACCACACTTTGTTGTAGCACCCTTATGTTCAGTGATCACTACAAGAGGGTGAGTATCAAGCAGGGCCACGTTATCAGAACTAACTCTTCTTGGGTTGGGGCTAGATTTCAGTGGAGCCCCAGAATCCATCTGCTTGTTCCTGTGATTTGTTTTTTTCCCCCCTAGTGGGAAAAAAAACATTTAATTCATTTATATTATCAACATATCAACATTGCAATGGACATAAAACAAGACCTCAAGTTATGGTATTTTTAGAAACAGAAAATATGAAATTTGAGGTAAAATTTTGTAAATTATAAAAAATGTATTACATGAAAACCAAAAGAGCTCACTGCCATTGAATCAATTCTGACTCATTGTGCCTCTCTAAGGCAGAGTAGAACTGCCCCTATGGGTTCAGAGACTGTAACAATATTTTTTTTGTTGTCCCTGGGATATGCAGGACTCCAGTTTACTTCGGTGGTCATATTATGGAAAATTCAAACCTCCATAAGACCAACGACCCCCCAACAGCAACAAACCAACTAGCAGACAACAAAAGACAAACACACAAACAAAAATAAGCAACCTAAAAGCAGGAAAACAAAAACCCATAGAAACAGAAAAGTACAGTCTTGTCGATCATTCCCCTCAGTTATAAGGTGATTGCACTTGTAACATCATCAATTTTTCCAATAAGGCATTGCTCTGTATACTGAAGGAATGTGGAGTCTATGCTGCTACCATTCCACCGTGAGCCACAATCCAGGAGATGTTGCTCAGCACCTTTGAATCTCCCGCTCAGTTGAGCTCGTTTACCCAAGGCATGGATATTGGTGCCAGGTGGAACCTTCTTGAATCAATTCTTCCAAGTTCAAATCCCTGCCCAGCAGATCAAAACCTGCCATGTCACTGTTTGGGGGGCATCAAGGTATTAAATATAAGGTCCCTTTCCATTGGACTCCCACCAATACAGGGGTTCTCCCCAAGGTCCAATGACTGCCATTTCCACGGGTCCCGACAGCCACTCTCTGCTTCTCCTCCAGTCTGATTACCCCAGTCCTCGTTCCTAGGGTTTAGACACCGTTCATTCTGCCGGGCCTCTAGGTTAAGTCCTGCTGGTGTAGCCCCTGGGTTATGCCATGCTGCCCACAAGGTCAGTGTCCAAGGTCATCATGATGTTTCATTCATGACATGTTTCACTGCGGGCTGGGTAGAAATATATTCGTAATATCTTGCTTGACACAATGTACTTATGTATGGATTGTGATAAAAGTACGAGCCCCCAATAAAATGATTTTTTTAAATCTACCTAGGAACATAAAATCTGGTCCATTGCCCCCATAGGATCCCTACAATCATTGTTTAGCATCTCTTCCGGATGTGAGGTTACTTCTCCCTAATCACCATCATGCTCATGAACAGAACCATCAGCGTCTCCTCCCAAAATGTCGATGCTCCTCTCCCCTGGTCCTGGTCTTGGCTTGATTTTCCAGCCAGGTTCCCCTTCCATTCCGGTAGGGGCCCCATTGATTTGTCCCAGCCTTGTCTCAATGCAGATAGCCTCAGGTGGACGGTCTTCTCCCATATTCCCCTTCTGGAAGGAGTGGCCCCAGACAATGTAAGGTCTCCTCCTTCCAGATGGCTCTTGTGAGGTGCATAAGGGGGAGGCGATGGATAGTGCATGGCCAATAGGTAGCTTTGTCCCCTTTTGTTCAGGAGTTGGTCCCCAAGATTTGTTTCATTGGTGTTTCTCCTTTTAAAAGTGGACTTGATACAATACTTGCCTTTTGCGATTGACATACTTCACTCAGCATCATGGTTTCCAGGTTCTTCCATGCCAGGTGGTGTTTCAGGCTTTCATCACTGTTTTTTAGAGATGCAGAGTATTCCATGGTGTGTATGTACCATAGGGTCTTTGTCCATTTGCCCACTGTTGGGTATGTGAGCTACTTCCTGTTTCTTGTATTGGGAACTGGTCTGCAACATCTCTTCTCTCTACCCACTAGATTCCAGTAGCTCCTCCCTCCCAGAATTGATCACGGTAAATATCTCCACACATTCCCAACTACCCACTGGAGGCAAAATAGCCCCTGCTTGAGAACCACCGGTTTAGAGTAATGGGTCTCAACTTGGGCGTGCAACAGAATCACTGGGCAAACTTGGTAGAAGACGAACTGTGGGCCCCCGCTCGAAGTCTGATTTGGTTACTATTAAGTTGGGCCCAAGAGTTTATATTTTTAACAAGTTCCCAAATGGTCCTGATACTGCTAGTCCAGAAACAACCTTCGAGACCCACTGGGTAGAGAAATAATAGAGCATTGTTATTCCCTAAGACTCTAGCTAGAAATCCAGATTGATTTTACTTTTGTAGTTATCAGGGAACCTTGGGCTCTAATGTATTTTTGAATTCTATTTCATAAAATACTGTTGAAGTGTCTAGAACTTATTATTTTGAGGGTGACAAAATATTTCATCAAACTAATATGTTACCATATGTTGGTGAACACCAAGGGCTAGTTCTGTTCCTGGTTTTCCTTGTCTTCATTTCTCTCCTACCTTCTTTACTTCCTTCCTTTCTTCTACCCTCTTGCCTTTCTCCTTTCATTTTTTTCTTTCTTTAATTCTTTTTATTAAACTAATTTTCTGGAGAAAACTTCCCAGGTGTAGAAGAGGCACGAGTGATGAGATGTCGATCGAGATATCCATATCTGTGTCTCTTCATGATGGCAACACACCAAAAAAATGAGCCTGTTACATTCTCCACAATTTTTGTCATGTCAACAATAAATATTAATTGATTACTTACTATGGGTCAGGTCCTATTCTATGTTCCTGGGACATATCAGTGAACAAAAGGAAGATCCCTTGTGGAATTTACAAGCTATGGTCACTGATCAACACATTTTATTATAATCCAGTGACATTTGTATGAGGAAGCCCTGGGATGAGGCCATGATTCCTGCCGAGAGGGGCGATCTGTCTTCACAACTCCCAGCCGGGTCCATCTGAGATGGGGTCTTGCACTCTCTTCTCAGAGCACTCTCTGATAAGGAGGCAAGGAACTGGGTCTCACTCTCTCCCAGTTTATCTTCCATGACAGAGAAGTCTTCCTGCTTGCTCTGAACTCTGGACAAGTCCCTCTGACTCCTGGTTCATCCACAACTACTTCATTGTACACGAAGAGTGTGCAGTTAGTCACGGGAAGCTGGTCACAGGACGGACACACTCCTCATTCTTCAACAAAAGCTGCTTCCTGCTTCCAGGATCACTGCGCTACTCTCACCTTCCTCTTGTTTCCTAGCCATCCGCAAGACAGCCCTCCCACATGGCTTTATCCGGCTAAGAGCAGAGCCGAGGTCCTCTTTGCTCGCTTATTCAGGATGCACTGAGGGAACTGCAGAGAAGCGACTCACCATTTCACCCTTCTCTGTGGGCCTTTTGAGAGAACCCGGTTCTTGATAAAGCCTCCTCCATTCATCTTGTAGCCCTAAAAACCCGAAGACTCCTCCATTCCACTCCAAAGAGCCTTGTCCTGTTTCCCTAACTCCACTTGGAACATCAAAATCCGGCTTCTTTGTGTGAGAGCAGCCCCACGTGGCTACTAGCTTGGTCCTCAGTTACAGAGTGTTCCGTTGATCATTCACAAGTTAGACCCAAAAGGATTGTACCAGATTAATGTCAACCTTGCATCCATAGTCAAGTGACCCGTACATCAGAATGGTCAAGTCATCTCTTAAGAGCTTTACATCTCTCTTCGATAAAAGTCCAGCTTGGACACCTGGAAAAACCGCCCCATTAAGCCGTCCATCGGGCAGACACCCAGTTATCCCTTCACCACTTCCCCATGAAACCTGCTGACTACAGAACACCACAGGTGATTTTAAATAGAAGAACAATTCACCTTCAGCTAGTGAGCATTGTTCAATGTATGCATTTGGAAAGTAGGCCCGAACCTTAACTGAAAACTTAACTTGAAGGCATGGTTCGGTTAAATGAGTAATGAAACAAAATCAAGAAAGCAGTGATTAGTAACCAGTCATAAAGAGCTAAAGGAGAGCTCGTGGCATATTGGATTATGCACTGGGCTGCCAATCAAAGGTCAGCGGTTTAAAGCCACCAGCTGCTCCTTGGGAGAAAGATGAGGCTGTGTGCTCCCATAAAGATTTTCGGCCTTGGAAACCCATGGGGGCAGTTTGACTCTGCCCTACAGGGTCAGGGTGAGTCCGACTCAGCAGTGAGTGTTGAGCAT